CACCCACCTTGGAGAAGATGGTCATGCGAGTCATCGAGGTTGCCCAGCCCGTACTGTACGATCACTTTGTCCGAATGCCATCTATGAGACAAATGCGTGAGTCGTCAAGCTTGTTCGAGCACTACCCGTATGCGAAGTATGCCACCGACGTCAAATTTCAGCCGTCACATCGACCGACCGAACGGTTCAGAGAACAGAAGCACTTCTTCAGCGGAAGCACAAACTGTACGGTCTCAAGATTGAGGCCTCCGTGTCCCCTTATGGCTTCCTTGTGGACATGAGTCCACATGTGCCGGGGTCTGTCTCGGACATCACGATCTTCCGGTCACAAATGGACGTCCACAAGCTACCCTAGCCAAGGATGAGCATGACCTGACAATCAACGACAATGGCAAACTCTTTCAAACCTTTGGAAGCCAGTGGGCTGTCCTCGTCGACAAGGGGTATATTGGTCTTGCCAACGACATCCGCGCAATTCATCCCAAGAAGCGTCCTGTCAACGGCACCCTCGATCGTCACGACCTTGACCGCCACAATGCCACCTCTTCCGATCGCGTGATCGTCGAGAACTTCTTCGGACGCGTTTACCTTCTCTGGAAGGTCTCCTACAGCACGTTCGTATGGAGTCCCAAGTTCTACGACTCAATCCAGAGTCTTACCTTCGCGCTGACCAACTTTCATGTCTCCCTTCTGCCCTTACGATTAGTCGACCACCACCAGTACCGGGCCGTTCTGGCCAGATACGCTCGTATGGCCGAAGAGGCGAGGTCGCGCCGAGCTGAAATCCAACGGCGCTATGTTCAACGTTGGGCTGAGAGATTCGCTGCAGCCTCCGTTCGCTCTGCTGTCGCTGCCCGGGGATCGTTCTTGTCTCCTCCAAATAGCAGTCGTTGAATATTGAATATAATAAAAATGACATTTTATAATTGACATTTGTATACAAAATTCAAGTTTAAATTAAATTTTGGAATTTTATTATCGATTTGGGGTCGACTGATCAATTCCAAGTAACTTCCAATGACTTGAGTCATTTCGCAAACACCCTTGTATTTGCTCAGAGGGGTTGTCAATTGTCAAGAACGCGGTCTTACACTAAGGAATGAAGCTGCTAATCAGTAAGAAACACATCTACTGAGTGACTTCCTCTCTCACTTCAAATCCAATCAATTCGGAAATCCATCGTCATTTGATTTGGTGATCAATTACTAATCGCAGTTCTTGAACAACGTGACTACACCTTTTTACATTCAAGTTGGAAGAATCGGAAGTTCAAGTTGGGGGGTTCGTGAGAATTTATAACCGATAAGATATAAAATATACAAAGTATTTTGGGAGGGAAGTGACTTGCGTGCTCTGTGAATTCACTGTCAAAGTCATGGATCCCAGCGAGATTGACCGACACCGTGCTAAGCGCATTGTCCTGGCGGCAGCAAGATCCCATCAGGATTGGAAGCTCGTCGCCAGAACCCTGGCAATCAATGAGAAGACCGCCACGGATCTCAGTCGCCCGCAAGGGAGAACTCTGGGATCCAGAGAAGCCACAATGGGGTGGAACACGATACGAGAAGTTTCAAGAGGAGCATGTTCAGCGTATCCTCTTAGCCCTGTCGTAGAGTCCAGATCTAACCCTCGAGGATATGGCATCTAACATTGCAACTGAATTTGGCGTTGTAGTGACAACAAAAACAATCAGCGTTCGCCTCGACGGCAGAATGTATACCTTGAAGAAAATGCACTTCGAGCCCGAGAAGTTGAATATCCACAGCACAAAGGTCGCGCGCTGCGAGTTTCTCTATCAACTTTGGCAATTGGAAGGCGACGGCAAAGAGGCCTTCTACCTCGACGAAACCAACTACAACACGTAGTGTTCTCGGGAATATGGTTGGAGCGAGAAGGGTCAATGAGCTGTCGCAAAGAGGACCACCTCAAAGGGCGAGAATATGCAAGTCATCGCCTACATTGGTCGCGGTGGCCTGGAGTACTACAAGACGAGATTTGGGTCAAACAAGGCAGAAGACATGCAAAACTGCATCAAAGAAGTTTTTGAGCACCTTGCTCGAACCATCCCGTTGAGCGAAGTCGTTATCGTGCTCGACAACGCACCTTGCCACAGCCATATCGAGGATGCTTTCGAACCCTCGCCATCTGGAACCTCGACTCTGTTGCGATTGGGGCCGTACAGCCCAATGCTGAACCCTGTCGAGAACGTCTTCTCAGCTTTCAAGGCCGATGTGAAAAGAACTTTGCGTATACTGCGCACAGAGCTTCTTACCATCCCACCCAATACCACGATCAAGGCTCATCGCGCCCGCATTTTGGAGCAGGCCACTGAAGTCGCGCTTCCAGTGATCACCCGTCAGCTGTGCTGGAAGTGCTATATGCATGCAGATTTCCCCCGCATTAGGAGACCCACCATAATTTAATATCCCTCAAAAATGCATAGTCCTGGAGCTTAGAAATATATAAATTCAGAGAGGTAATTTGAAATCCAAAGCAATATTGATGGAACACATGTTGACCATAACATTGGTCATATGCCATCGCCGTCATCGAGGCAGCGGCTAACAATTGAGCAGAAGCGAAGATTGATCGAGCATCGTACTGCTAATCCAGAATTAAATGGGTTGCAGCTACGCATGTGGGCCTACCATGCATTCAGTCTCAACCACGTGCCTTATCAACAACA